CTGGTGAGATTGTTGTTTAAGATTTCAGTCATATTTGTAAATATTATTGAACGGTATGATTTGGCTTGTGTTCTTCTATCTTGAAAAGCTAAGTTCTCAACTTATCTAGTTTTTTACCCATGTCACTTTGTTTATTTATTTGTTTGCTTAAAAAATGATTACTGATGCTAGTGGGCACCAAAATATGAATGCGTAATACAAATTGAGATTTAATGTGTTAGGCTATGATAGTTATATGTAACAAGTATGAACAAAATTGGTGTGAACTAGCGTATATTAATGAAAACAATAATACTAATAACTATACTAGTAGCAGCTGTTCAGATGTGAAAAATGCAACCATGAAGGATTCTTTCATATAGTGAAGCTCTTCTCACTTAAATAAAGAAAATGTGGGAAATTTGCAATAGTATGGCTGTTCGTTCTGATTTCGATCCATGTGTATTAAACTACCTCCATGTTCTCAATTGGATGATCTTGAATAACTAACAGATAACAGTCCTGTGAAGCTTTATTTCTTACCACAGCAAGAAAGAATTATATGATGACTGTTTAGTGGCCCGTGGATCTGACTCCAATTAGATCGTACGAATGTTTGATATCGCCTATCCTCGTATATATTCATCGACTTAAATCGCGTTAGTCAATAACGGATTTAGATCAGTCAAATAACAAGAATGGACTTGTGAATACACATATTTTGTATTTAAAGCGAATGGAATAGAGAGAAGAGAAACGACGCGCATTGGGTGGTAAGCCAACTCCCATTTAACCAAGCGTTAATCAATATTTATAGTTACACAAAAGTAAGTTACAGACATGTGATGAGTAATGGGATAAGAAATGTACACACACCTACGCGCTCATATAAAAACAGTCAAGATTGGTAAGCGAATAAATAACAAGGTCAGAATGTGACTCAAGTAGAATGAATAGAATGGGCTGTCCGAAACCTAGAATAAGGTATATGGGAATAACATAATAACAGACGCTTTAACTGAAAGTCGAAAAAATGTCACCTATTATTCATCTTGCGACAGTCTCTGTGGAAGCAAATCCTTAAAAGCATGTATATTAGTTCGTGAAAATTTAAGAAAATTTACTCAGAGAAAATAATCGTCCTTCAAGAAAAAATTTAACCATCAAAAAGTGCACAATATATGAGAAAATCTGTTGAAATAACAAAATTGTGGACTTATGAAATATGAATTCGTGAAATATGATTGTTTCACACACCATTTCACTGAATTCGCTTTTACTAAGAATGTATCCAAGTTTACTTGAATAAGTATGTTAAATTTTGGAAGAATCCAGCATTAGCTCTTTTGCGAAGTTAGAAGGATCATATCTCCCATTGAAACTGAACAAATAAAAAAGTTTTTCAAATACAAGAAAGACTACTAGAGTATGTAAGTAGTTAAATATCTTTCATGAAAAAAACAAGCTATCTAATTTTTAATATCGTTAACGAATTGGTCTTTGTATAATCCTAATATGTTGACACTCAACAAATTAAATTGTAATTTACTCTGTTGAGTTAATAAAAAAAATTATTACATAAAAACTATATAACTGTGGGAAGTAACTGTAACGATGGAGAATATCCTTGACGGACAGTAGGTGAAATATCAAACAGCAATAATTAATTGTATTGTTCATAGTTCCACAATATTACGAACTGACTGAAGTTGAAATGCGTTCTTCGTTATGTAGGACAAGAATATTGAGACTAATAAGTGTTCAAAAATTCAAAATTCAAAACTAAATCAAGACATGATCCATTACTAAAATGCGGTAGAAACCAGAAAATTAATATTTGTCTAGTGACATTGTTATTTAACAGTTTTCCAATAGATTTTGATTGGTAGTGAACAGTAACTCCAAAATAATTCCCATTTCGGCAAATCATCCTTCTGAATAAAATTTAGTACTTAGTGGGTAATATTTACAATGACTCCATATCATTCAGATACGTCAATGTGAAGCAGACACTGATGATTTTATTTAGAATGATAACGACAGCTCCATAATCAAAACATTCTGTATGAAAAAACCATCATCAACAAGAGATCAGTATTATATATAACTACTGAAGATTAAACGACGTTTTTATACTTCGACTGATCAGCTTTAAACTCCGAATAGTCAAATTTTGAAGAAGATGGAAGATATCCATCTAATTCAATTTAATTTATCCGTTTTAAGATTTAACATTTCTTTGGTTTATAGGATATTTCAAGTTAGATAACAATTGCACTCATAGGGCAGCTGAAGTAATAAAGTAAATTTTTACATGAAATTATCGAATCTAACCAACGAAATAGATCCGAGCATCCGAAATGAATTTTCATGATCAAACAAATATCTATTTCACTTTAGTTCCATAGATCATTTAACAAGATCATATCTTATCATAATTTTCATTACTTCATTTTCCTAAAAAAATAGCAGTACTTATCAATGTAAAAAAAACTGATGAAAACGCAACGAAACATCTAGATGATATTAAATATTATATACTAACCATTAAACAACCATAATTAAAGTACGCATTTTAAACATCATACTCTATGTGTTATTTTTAAAATTATTTTCATTTAAGGATTGTGATTGAGATCATGAACCGATTGATGTAAGACCACGATTGGAAACCTGTAAGCACTGGACAACCATTTCGCTTTACTGTGGGACTCCTCAGCAGTGCGCATCAACGATCTCACTCGTGGGATTCCGACCCAGGGCCTTCAGTCTCACGCACGAATGCTGAACCTCCAGACCACTGGGCCGGCATCCAACGGTGTTCATGTCTGACCTAATTAAAGATTATCCGATACTTAAAGGAAACTGGTTACAGCACTGAATAATCGTTCATGTAATAAATGGTCCAATTATATGTATCATAATCACCTTAAAGAAACAGATCAAATAATTCATATTTAAAATTCAAAGTAAGTTCCTGTAATAAATCTAGTTCGTTAAGCCAACTTTGATGAATATTTTAGTGTTAATAGCATAACTGGTTTATCAGATTTTAGTTTCAACTAATGTGTTTAATATAAATTTCACTATTCATTGACATGTTTTCTATGTTTAATATCTTCCTTTTTCATGTATGCCTAATCTATGAACACTCACTTATATTGGTATACCTTGTTTCTATTTGAGAGAACATTTTCCTGCGTTGAAAAACTGTAATATTTTCTTAGAGATTCTTTTCTTCTATACTATTTACTATGAAATAATAGCCAAAATAATTGTTATAATTAATTAAATCTTTGAAATAATTTCCATTGTCACTTCCATTTCGTTGTACTTTGTCATGTTCTTCAATATTTTCATCATGTTTATAAAAAAAACATTCAACTTACTGATTCTGATAAAACTCTTTTTTGACATTTTTTTCTAATTCCCATTATTTTACTTCAACATTGTCAATCATTTGATCATCATTTTTAATACTGACTATTAAAGCCTTACTTATGGTAAATCTTAAATAGACCAAATAATACGTAGTATAACAATAATAATTTGGTTTCACAATCTCGGATAGGATTTAATTCCTGATTTTAATCCTTGAAAAAAGTATGGTAACTTTAAACTATAGAGTTTAAATCTTATGTGCTAAATATTCAACTTAATAATAGTTCGCTATGTTCGAGAAAAAACATTGGACACATATTCACGATTTACTCAAATATACATGGAAAATAGCATCTATTGTCAGGAATGACTAATATCTCTTTCATAATAACAGCGTCAGTCAGAATGAAAAAAATGTTACCATTTTGCTGAATGTTCGCTAATGTGCAAGTTCAACAGTTCTTAAACCTGACTTTGACTATACATGCACAAATTATACTGATAGTACTATAAAAGATTATATTTCTTGCTATGTAGAAATAACAGGAAGGATAAAGAACTCAAGCACTTTCTCATTTCACGTATTACTCACTAACAACTTATCAGTAAATCTATGACTATGTATTAATTAGATTCTTCGTTTGTCCTAAAAGGATTAATTAGTTGAATCAATTATTCAGACTAAACTATTTAAAATGAACTATGGCCTTTAAAATCTCATGAAATCATCAATCATTTATAAATTAGGTTTAAAGATTATCTAACTATTTTATGTATTAAAATAAACTATCAAACAACTGACTATAAAATTTCTTGAAATGCCTAGAAGTACTTGATTATTTTCAGATCTAATATTTTCAATATCTTTAGTATAAGAATATACTTTAGTTTCAATAAGCAATAAAACATGGTATATTTAAATCTATCCAATAACTATTCGTAGACTTCAAAGCCATCAACTCAAATCATTCTTTGTTCAGTATTTCAACATTATCGAAACGAAGCATTAAAATACCAGTTATCTAACAAAAATACTCGTTTTCTATGAACGTTTACTCTTCAAGTAACCATTCAACTTTATCAGTTATATTAATGTCTATATGTTCATTCATTTTTATAATGTAAGCATAAACCATTCTAATTTGCTTTTGCATATTTCATATTTTTCACAAGAACAACAACAACAAAATTATCAAATTAAAATATCTACAAACGATGTGCAAACAAAAATGAATAAACTTTATCAGTAGTTAAAAGTGATATCATTGTCAGAAGGGGTTTTAGTAATTTTAATAATTTTAGTCATTTCAATAGTTTAAATCAGCAGTGCCCATCTACTATCCTGCCTCGTGTGAGATTCGAACACAAGACCTATCAGTCTCAATCTATACTAGAACGAAATGGTTGTCCAGTGCTTTCAGGTTTTTCATGACAGTCTAGCTTCAACTGACTCATAATTTCAACTATTGATATCATTATATTAAAAAAAGAACGGTTACATTTCATTAAACCTACGTTTATTTCCTATCAATTTGTCTATAGCAAAGCTTATGATACTAATGAACATTTATTTATTTATCTATTTATTTTGTAACTAATTATAAAATATACTTAGTGTGAAAAAAATAAAACGCATAGATACTGACCATATTGATTTTAATTATTATCCAACATTATCTGAAAACAAAAATCGAATAGTTGGAAAAAAAGTAAGTTTAAAAATAGTGTTAATAATTATGTAACTTGACATAAATAAATGAACAAGATATTTACTTAAATACTTTCAGTAATGTTCATAACAAGCAAAAGATAATCGGAAGTTTCGGCGAGAGAGAGAGCGAGCAAGAGGGAGAGGGAGAGGGAGAAAAAAACTAACAACAACATAAACATGCATGAGTTTAGCAATAAAGTGAAAAAACAAGTTGACTGAAGAAAAAACAAACAAACATAATTATTGTTTATTGATGATGTAATGAATTTAACATGTAAGAGAAGAAAAAAATCTTTAGTGTGAGAAGGCATAAACAGTAATTTATTGTGTTAGGGTTAATATTGTCAGTAGATATATATATATATATATATATATATATATATATTCGTATAGTCATACTCTGAAGTATTGATTTTGATCATTTTTACAATTGTTCATTTCAATTAGATACTTTTATTTCCCTGATGTGAAAGTTTTGATTTGTTCTAAGAGAAAAAAAACTGATAAATAATAATAATGTAATTAATAAATATTGGATTTATTATTAATAAGTCGATATAGGCATTGTTCTTTAGCTATTTCTGGTTTTAAACCCATTAATGTCCAATCACATGGATTATAAAATGAATGATTACCACCACATGTAATTTGTTCATAATTTAATTCTTTCATAAATTCTTTCTAAAATTTAAAAAAAATGAATTCAATAAGTAACATGTTAAAGTTAATATAGTTTTAAGTAGAAAGATTTTACTTTATAATAAATTCCCATTGATTGATGTTATTCTATTAAACATATTTGAGTACTAGTTTGTTGTTAGTAGTATTATTCTATATTGTTTTTAAATGATGCAATTGAAGATATTGGTCTTTTTAATTACGAATACAATATAATTCATTTCTGGTAGAAATAAACTTATCAATTATAACATTATATTCTACTACTTTGAATGATCAATTGTATGTAATGAAATAGATACACATCTAAATTCTATTGAATATACTCCGTAAAGACATTTTAAAGAAGAATAATACGATATGTTTACGAAAAATAGAATTTAATGAAGAAAATTTTGGTGAAACTATAATTTATAGACGATCTAATCAGGTATAAGATAACAGATCTCAGATTTTAGCGCAAAATTTACTCATCCATCTAACTAAATAGAATTTCGACATTATAGCTGATATCAGTTCGTGATGAAAACCTGGAATCTAATTCTTAACCTTAACCATTAAATGTGAGTCATCCTTCTTATTCCTCACATTGATTTATAACCTTCATTTGGTTCTAGTTATTAGGTGGGCACTCTCAAATTCAGTTTAGCATTACTCAAGGATCGTACATGAATTATAGTTTCATCAAAATTTTCTTTTCAAAAAAATCATTTACTTAAGCTATATAGGCATATGTATACTTATATGGAAAATATATGTTTATTGAAGGATAGAAATGATTTCGTCGGGAAGATAATTTTCATTGTTGAATTCTCCTTTTCTTATTCAATGATGTAATGGGTAATTTTAGATATGGTTACATTAGTTAACTTCATTCATTTGAATTCATGTAATATTAGAAGTACTTTTTTTCCCATATAAAATCAACCAAATAAAAATGTCAAAGTTTATGTACTTTATCTTATACTCTCAACATATTTTTTGGTTTGTTTGTTTGTTTGTTATTTTATTCATTTTATAAAATAGTTTTATTTTAAAATATTTAAATTATATTTGACTTACCATTTTTGAATTCGTTTCCCAAACAAAATGATATGACCCATAAGTTGTTGCTCTTAAAAATTGTTCTACTGTATATTTAATTAATGCTCGATTAATTTCATCTTTTGATGCAACTCTAAGTGTTGATACATATGCTGAACTAGATGGTATTCGTCGATTATTTGGTTTAGCCCATTCATAACATTTTGTAACAAAGTCAAGAACTGATGTTATCATACCAGGTGCATACATATCACCTAGTTTAGATGTTGATAAAACTAAATTAGCACCATTTAATTTACTTTCTGAATTATCAGATTGTAGAGTTATCTAAGAAAAAATAAGTCAAAAAACTATGATAATAACCATGAGGTGAGCATATATCAGAATATTTCCATGACTACTGTAAAATAATCACTTATGTTCAACAACATAAAAGCGGTTAAAATGAGTAAAGAACATAAGAGATATTTTTTTATGCATCTCAGTAAAACTCTTTAGCACATATATATATATTTTAAAGACGGTTGAAGAAAATAAAAATACTTACAGAGGATAACAATTGATCAGCAGATTTCCAAGCAAGATATATATGTGTATAATACATTGAGTAAGGAATTTGTAAGTCATGTACTTTTGCTTCACTTTCTTCCGTGCGATTAGTGAAATAACTAACAATTCGATATAGTGGTGCACTGGTTATTGTTTTTATCACATAACCTTTGTCAGATGAAATACTTTGGTAGATTTTTGTGCCTTCTGGTTTTGAAACGTTAGGATATAATAATCCAACTGTATTAAATTTAGAAGAACTCATAATGGTAGGTGATAATAATGCACAAATGAAAATGTATGTAATCATTATCCTACAAATAAAATAAAATAAGAGGATGAAATAGAAAATATGCATATTTACCTTTTGGGAAATTTTAAATATTCACTTTATAAATTGTAACTAAGAGTTTATCACGTTTATTATCTACTTATCGTGTAGATATTTATATTGTTCTTAAACCTATGAGAGACTTATGATTTGGAAGTCATACGTTTGATTTCTTTTCTTTTTAACCAATCCCGTTAATAAGCTATAAGAATAATAATTTCCCCTAGATATTTTTCACCTTTATTCACAATAAGTAAATTTTATTTTTAACGAGATAGTATTGGTTAATAGTATACATCCCTTTAATAATAATGCTAATATTATTTAGTCAGTATACTGTTTGAAAAAATATATATGAGCAGGGACAGTAAATTAAAGCAGGTAAATATAGCTAGAGATATTTAAAGGATAGATTATTTCAAATTCTTAGAATGAATCTTATTATTTAACCAATAATAGAAATAGAATGTACAAATTAATAAGTTTAACCTTAAATTGTAAAATAAATTTATTTAGTTTATATTTGTAACTAAGTAAACATACTTTTTGATGAAATCATTAAAATACTTTTTTATGTCTGTGTAATCTTAATTAATCATTTACTCAGTTCTGATAATAATCACCAGCACACTAGTGACTGACTTCAAAAGACACTCATGGAGTTCTAGTGGGGAGCCGTGACCAGTGGAATTCAGAGAGGTCTGTTGTGAGATATCAGCTCACTGAAGACAATGTTGACGGTGGTGCAACTTCGTGAACTGGTTGAAGTTTGACATTAACACCGTTGAATGCCGGCTGGCTCAATGGTCTAATGGTTAAGCGCTAGCACGCGAGACTGATAGGTCTTGGGTTCGAATCTCGCGGGGAGCGGGTTCGTAGATGCGCACTACTGAAAAGTTTCATACTAGAATGAAAGGGCCGTCCAGTGCTTCCAGGTTTTCCATGATGATCTCGTTTTAATTGACTCATGCTTTCAACTATTGAAATTCATTAATTGTTGAATATGTATGAATAATTAACTTATTCATCTAGACACCCTATCAATTCAGTAGGAACTGTTTTCTGAAAACCTTAAATATTCACTTTATTTCAATCATGACATGATAAACTTGATTTCTTTATGAGTAAGAATGAATATGCCTCAATGACTGTAAAGGAATTAGAAGAAAGTTAGCATTAGATGTAATGTTTATAACAATGCAATTTACATATGAGGATGGTATACGTTTATTATGTTTATAAAATTTCAACAATACACATTCAGTACAGTTACTTTACAAGATCAAGATACTTCCATTACTTCAATAATAATATGTATAGTACATAATAAAGATTATCAAATATATATATATACAAATCTATTTCATTTTATGAAAAATCACTGCGTTTTACGTTTTCTACTTAGAACACTTCATAAGAGTTTTAAGTAAGACAAAAACGTCAATCATTTGTTAATTATAAAATATTTTTTAAACAGAAACAGAACATAATTATTAAGTCAGTTAAAAATCAAAATTGCAGTTTCACAAATATTATTGTTTGATGTTCATTAGTATTTCTCTAAGATGTTTTATCTACATTAGTTGGAGATAGTCACTGAAAAATCCAAACTGGACAAAGATTTCATGATATCTAGCATTCATCATCAAAACACTTCTGTAATCTTAACAGAACCGACGTCTGCCTAATGAATTTGATCTCTTGACACCAAGCTCCATAGTCATAGGATTCACTACTGAGTTATTCAGGACGTGATTGATTTCCTGTAATACTTAGAATTTCATAAATAATTAATTACTCAGTTTTTTTTCTAGAGCTGATCGAGTTCTACCGATCACCACAAACTGCATATTAAACTAATATTAAATGAAATCCTTAAATATCTTGACTAAATAGTCGAATATGTAAAATGCTTTTTGTAAATGTTTATCGCATCTTTTCCATTTTTGAAATTCTACATATTTTGTCATCCTACTCTAAGTTTAAAGAGTATGTATTTAGTTGTTAAGTTGAAAATAATAATAGTAACCAGAAAATTTTCTTACTGATCATGAGAATCAGTAAAAATAAACTATTCATGTAAACGTTTTTTTAAAAAAGTTTGAATTGGATATATAGTTTCTAGGACGATGTTTGTAAATCTCGTTAATTAAGATATTCACATTATTATTATTATTATTATTATTATTATTATTATTATTATTATTATTGTTATAAAATCTAATGATAAATCGTACGTTTACAAAACAGCAAAACAAAATAATAATTAAGTACATTAAAGCAATCAGTCCCTTTGATAAATTTCGATAAAGTAATAAGACGAAGATTATCAGAACTATGTGATATATTAGCGCAATACATTTCAAACAATCTGATCATACATATACGTGTTAAGAGCAGTTATATATACAAATAAAAGGTCAACTATACTGGAAATGGGGTAAGAGGAGAAAAGGATAATTATAAGAGTATATGTGTGATCAGATAGTTCAAAACTTATTGCGCTAATATATGGCATAGTTTTGATTATCTTCGTCATCTAAGTACATTAAATTTATAGTTAAATGTTAATTTTATATAATGGAAAACTGAAATGAAATATCATTCAAATTCATTTAAAACCTAACTCATTATTGGTAGAATTTTTCAGTTTAGCTAATATACTACTGAATTCATGTTAGTTTTTTTTAGCTATTTCAATTAAATCTAATTCAGTTACAATTCTTCTAAAGTATCTTAGGTATCTGAACACGAAAGTTATATCCATGGAAACTAATCCTAAATAATTTGTCATTAATATTTTTCTTTCATTTAATTTTTAATTTTTTGAACTTTCTGATTGATTTATAATTTAAAAACCAGTAATCTTTTTTTTAAAAAAACTAAGTTTCAGTAAAACAATAATTAAAACAAACTTTCATTACTTTTGAAATTAACTTACTTTTTCTGGTTATCGTTTCTATAGCGAGTTAGTTTTCTACGGGTTTGGTTTGCTAATCCTATGCCCGACCCTCCTCCTTTATCCGGATTTGGAACCGGTAATAGCCCCAGTGGGGCTCTAGGTGGAGTTTTTGAAATTAAGAAATAAACTAACTATGTAATGAAAACATCGTTATATCATTTAATCATTCGATAATGAGTGAAACTTATTCTAAAGAATATACACAAATATAATAAATAAGTTTCATTAAAAAAACTTGCAGTCTCTTTTCTGAAAAAACGTGCATACAAAGAAGATGAGAAAGAAAGAAAATGAACTTCAGACAAACTGGCTTTATTTTTTCTGTTGTTAATTATTCACCGAATTTTAATACTTTGTTATTCTTGTACATTTCACCAACATACAATTCCTTCTTATTTACAGTCGGATAACATCAAAAGTTTGTTCGAAAAATGAAAAAAAAAAAGAAGTGATGAACATTTACATGCAACATTTGAAGTAACAAAAAAGGAAAAAGGAAAACAAAAGTTAGTTGCATGCAGTTGAACTAAACTGGTTCAGTAAGAGTGATTTTTTTTGTTGTTGTTATATTTATCTACTTATTATTAGTAGTACTATTACTGTTATAATAATTATTAATGACACTACTGTCCATTAACTGTGATGTTTATAAAATGGCCAGTCTACCACAAACTTAATATTATAATAACTTTCAAAATAATAAATTAAATAGAGTTTAACTATTGTAACTATTATGTAATCAGTCAGTATTAGTTAAACTAGACTCTTTTCGTAACCGTTTTTAATAGTTTTATTAAATGTGAAAAACAACGATGAAAAAATACAAAAAAGAAGAATGTTTCCTTTCTTTATCACCGAAACTAAATTTACTGATTACTAAAATAAATCAAAATGATGATACATTAAATAATATATTTTCATTAGAAATTTTACTATAGTCGACGTCATTGGCATCAAATGCTTATACTATATCAGGCGTATAATTGTGAACTGAATCATTGTACAGTAAAATTTATAATTGTTAAATGTCTAAAAGAGTGCTATTCATAGACTACAAGATTATTATGTGATCTAAATGTCAACACTAAATTTTGTAACATTTTAAGGATAAAACTAGCGAATGTGTTAAAACTTCAATATTCATAAAAGATGAAAAAAAGAATAGATGAATTTTAATGACTACCCAGACGTGCAATGTTTTATAGTATAGGAGTAGGTTAGAAGAAAGCTAGGAGTGGCCAGAATAAAACACGGCACTAATCCATGGAGTCACAACAGACTCGGTTGAACTCCCTTCTGATATGAATCAACGAATACTCACTGGTGATTGGCTTCAAGAGATATTTCCTGGAGTTCTACTGAGAAGCAGTGACCAGTGGAGTTCAACCGGCTCAGTTGTGAGATATTAAATCACTGATGACAGTGGTGGATGTGTCTCTAAATTTCGTGGATTGGTTGAAGTTTGACATTAACACTGTTGGGTGGCGGCTGGCCCAATGGTATAGTGGTTAGGCGCTCATGTGTGAGACTGATAGGTTCTGAGTTCAAATCTTGCAAGGCAGGATCGTGGACGCCCACTACTGAGGAGTCCCACGATGGGATGAAACAGCTGTTCAGTGCTTTCAAGTCTTCGATGATGGTCTAGCTTTATTTGGCTTATGGTCTCAACCATTGAAATTACTATACTATCCACAAAGACCCTTCTGATATAAAAAAATTATAGTTAAATTTTAATGAATAGTATAGTACTATTTTGGGGGAATTTTGAAAATATTGCCAACAGCATCATTCTGTATGATCAAATAGTCGAAATTATATTTTCCTAACATTTATCTTAGTTATCTACTGCAGTTATTCATATCAAAAATATAAAAGATAGTCAACTAATTCCAAGAAACTACAATGGACGTAGGCAAAGATGGATAGTGGCTAGCAGTGGGATCCAGGACGCGCGTTTCGTCCTATTTGGGACTCGTCAGCTGGATGTACCTGCATCTCAGAGTTGATGTTCACCCTGAGAC